AGTGAGATCGGTGGAAAGAGAAGGAAAGGAGGAACGAATCGATGATACAAAAACGGCGATCCCTACATTCCGGCCATGTATGGTGTAGGCTCGCCATATATGGGGCTATCACGTACGCACCTCCTATGGGGGGTTGCCAGTTTTACGCTTCTGTGCGTGACCAGGAAAAAATCGAAAAGCGGGGAACATAGATTTGGCAAATAGTGGTAGCGCATCATGAAAAACACTTATCATGGTTCCAAATGGAATGTGTTTTGTTATAATTATAATATTCAATATTATATTGAAATGTAATATTTATAATTTTAATATATATTTAATATATTAAATATATTTTTAATTAATATTTTTATTATTATAATTGTATATTTAATATTATAATATTAAAATATAATATTTATAATCAAATATATATTAATGTATTAAATATATAATGTATATTACACTAATATATATTTATAACTAATATTTATTAATATTTTATTATTATAATATTAAAATATGATATTTATAATCAAATATATATTAATATATTAAATATATAATATATATTAAACTAATATATATTTATAACTAATATTTTTATTTTTATTATATATTTAATGTTATAATATTAAAATATAATATTTATAATTAAATATTGCATTTATTTCCAAAAATAAATAGATTGATGACATTGATGAAACGATCTTACTTGGATTTGAAAGAAAATTACTGATTGATAATTTATTTATACTTGTCCATTTTCAGAGAGTGATTGTTTGAATGATCTGATTTAATAATTTAGGGAATCTTTCAGATGAAGGATTTATATCTATAGAAGTTGTTACAACAGGTTTTGAGAAAGAATGAAATAGTTATTAATTAATTGTATTGGCTAATTGTTATTTAGTTTGAAGTATTTTGCAACTGTGAAGTCCATAGGGGTTTTACAACATGCAGGTTTTACGACTCTTGAAAGTATTGCTTCACATTTAAAGCTATGTGCATAACTATACTAGTGAGCGTCACACATTTGTAAATTTCGTATATTCAAAAGAAGATACAGATTTTATACTATATCATATTATTATAATTCGGGGAAAGAAATATGAAAATTAGCTGTACAAAATTCTTATAATTTCTATCAATTATTATTTGATTACAAACAGGCACAAAAGTAAAACTCCATCATTCACTTATAATTTAGTTAATTTTATTTATAATATTTAATTATTTTGATGGAAAAGAAATACGATTTGAAAAAAAGTGTTACATATGAATGAAGTTGATTGAATCGTTCTGTCGTGGATAAAAATGTATAGTATTAACAGAATTGCAAAATTATTAAATATTGAAACTATCGATTACTGCATAAGAAGATATGTGACTTCGTTTAAAAAAATTAAGTTAACCTGTCCATTTATTTATTATTATTATATATTATTATATATTATAATTATATATATTATATATAATACTATATATGTTATAATTATATATATTATATATTATTATTATTATTATTATTATTTATTTAACGTATTTTTTATATACGTTAAAAATAATAGAAATATTTTTATACACGTTGAAACAAAGTATTTTTCGTTCAAACGATTCTTTTGATTTTAGAGAAAACTCAATCGGTCATTTTATCAGCCTATAACGACACGTATAAACAATATATTTAAGATTATTATACAATTTGTTTATTAACTTTTGTTTATTAATTTGTAATGTCCTCTATAATATATGAATATTTTCGGACTGATTTCAAGGTTTGATAATATGATACTACAATGCTAATAAATTTCGAAAGTTCTTGTATGATACAGATACAGTGTATCATAAAAATTTCTTACACTTATGAATCTTATCTCTGTTATTTTATGGAACTTAAGTGAAGGCTCGGTTAGTAAGGAAGTGAGGACAGGAAGATAAGAGCAAAAGAAACGGTAAGGCATGCGTTTCATCTCGAGGTCTGCTAGTGGAGAGCATCATCAAGGCTTCCTCTAACAGACTCCTAGACACCGAGGATTGAAATTCAATCGGCGAACATACTTTTAGTCATGTGATTATATTATCTCGTGTGACAGACGTTATTCCAATCTAACAATAAGTGGTTAACGTGATCGATGACAGGATGGCTACCAGCGAGAAATTGCCTCTAGCAAGCGCAGAAGCGTGTCCCCAGAACATTATCCCTAAAATGTATTTACTGCCATTGGAATGTAGAGTGGTCGTGTAGCGATTGAAAGAGTCGTAACTGCGATTGTCCTAGACCGGTCACTCTGTTTGACAGTCAGACGTTCAGTAATCGAAGCGTGGACCGTTATTTTTTCTTCTCTTGCGTTCGGTAAAGGTCAGTGTTTCCTCATCTGTGTCATCGTCGCATGATCTAGGAAAATTAAGGACGGGTATACTCTGTTCAAGCCTGTCAAAAAGCATTGCTGGTATCATGGTTTTTCGCTGTCACTTGTTGCAGGTTTCAAAGTGTGCTAGATAACAAGGATAAGAAACGTCAAATTAGAAATGCTGCTTAATATAATTGATAGTAGCGAGAAATGTCTCAACTAGTGGTAAACTTATTAACCTCTTGCGTTAAAATGACGTGCCAAATGCACATCGAGAACTTTAGTGTCCCAAATTGCAACATTTTCTTAGTTTTAAATATGTTAAAGTGATAAGTTTATTTAATAATTTTTATTAATTTCCGTCTAGTGATATCATACCGACGAGTTCAAAGGAGAAAGAAAGCGATGAATTATTGCATACGGTTCGGTCACTCGTTATGGTCCGCGCAACCAGTTGCCAGCGCAAGGTGTTAACTGGCTAGTGTGAGAATAAAGTTTATTGTTACAGATGATTCTTAGATTAATTATATTTCTAGGTTAGGAATTAGTTGAAATAAATATAATATATATAACAACGATAATAGTAAATATGATAAATTAGATAAATAAAATTGAATTATTTAATTTATCTAATTTTAAATTAATTAGAAATAAATTTAAATATTAATATAGTAACTAAATTAATAATATATTAATAATAATAATATGATAAATTAGATAAATTAAATTATTTAATTTATCTAATTTTAAATTAATTAGAAATAAATATAAATATTAATATAATTGAATTAATAATATATTAATAATAATAATATAATAAATTAGATAAATTAAATTAAATTATTTAATTTATCTAATTTTAAATTAATTAGAAATAAATGTAAATATTAATATAGTAACTAAATTAATAATATATTAATAATAACAATTTATAATAACTAAATTAATAAATATTAATACAATAGTTATTTTGAAAACTTGTAGAGGATCGAAGAATTGATTCCAAGCAAAGAATTTGAAGTGCGTATTGTATCATGTGTCTAGGTGAAAAAAATTTCGAAAAAATTAGATATAGGAGAGTGTAGGCGCGTCTATTCTGAAACCTGTGTAATTGTCCCATAATAGGAGCCGCGGAACGCCATTTACGGGACTCGTTTTCTCGTTTAACGCGCGGCACCATTCACGAATGATTTATTCCATCGATTTCAGCGTTCTCCTAGATTTGGTAGCTGTAATTAAACGCTTAAATTTCGTATTATTGACTGCTGATGTCTTTTCTGCAAGCAGTTTCGATCCATTCATAAGATCCACTCATAAGAATAAATTAATATTTATTTAATATTTTTCTCGATTACCTGTAAACAATCTTTTTTTTGCAATTTTCTTTGGATAATTACTTTTTACAGTGGTTCACGCAATATGAAACATTATTAGAGACCGATGACGCAAGATCAACGTTATTCTGTACTTAGTTCTCGCATTACGAGCAAAAACAATTATTCTATTAATAAGTGAATGAATTTTGCAGAGCTTCATTCTTATTGAAAACAGAGAAAAGTCTTGCATGATTTGTTTAACAAGCTCTATCATCTTCTAACCTAACTCTTTACATTCATACTGTTGTAAAATGTAATTACACCTTTTTTTTTTAATTTAACGCAACTATAATTATATAACAAATTTCATGACTTTTTCTTTCTGATAAATGAATATGAGGAACACTCTTTTTTTTTTAAATCTATATAATATTAAATAATAACATACAACTTCTTTCAAATTATTGTTTTTTTTTAAATATTTGAAATTTTCAGATGATAATTATATTTAGGCTTTTCTGATTTACTGTAATGTATATATGTATTTGATTTTTATAAAGTTAAATATTGAATACCTACTTGTGATAGTCTTTATATAGAGTCGAATGGAATTATTTAATATGGGAATATTCTACATTTATCTAATTATTTTGACTAATTCAGTTTATTATTAAAATATAATAAGTAATATATCGAAATATGTAATATAATATATTATTATACAATGTGATATATATTTGACATATTCTGTTAGAAAAAGCTAAATTTTGTCTAGATTTTCTTAAATAAGTTTTTTAATAAATTCATTTAATGTGATTTATACAATTTTCTGATATGTTTTTTAAATTTTTATCAATATATAAACAATGTATAAATGAAAAGAAAAATCAATTTCATCGATATATAGACAATCAAAACCAAAAGAATGAGAAAAAGAAGACAATTTCTTTTTAAATATTACGCTTATTAATTACACCTTTTTTTTAAAATGGAATCTTACGATTTTTTTTACACAAGTCAATGCCTCGAGACACTTCAAACAAAAAAATACGTTTGTACGTATATTCAGTACTTCGAACAAAATACTGTTAATCCACTGATATCAAAACAATTCGTCAAACAGTAATCTACTGATTATTCCAATAAATGAAGTATTTCCAAAAATTTCCAAAACAATGGCGAACTTATAAAATAAATTTTCAAACTGTAATAAATTATGTAATAAACTCTGACGACCTCAGATAATTAATATTAGATGTGGCGAACTTATAAAATAAATTTTCAAACTGTAATAAACTCTGATGACCTCAAATAATTAATTTAATATTCCATAATAACGATTTTCTTTTAGATCCATACTCACCTGGTGAATGGTAGACCTGGTGCCCTGAATCATAGCACGACCCTTCAGGAATTCACGCAGGCCAGGTACGTACGGCTTCGGCTTCAGGGTCTTCGACGTAGCGGAGAGACAATCGCGGACAAAAGGCGCGCGTTTTACTCTATTAAAGAAATCAACATCGGCGGAAGATGTCTGTGTTCTGGCCATGCGGCAAGATGTCGTTACAGCGTTCAACACAGAGTAAGTCAAAGATCATTGATCTTATAATTATACGTTTAATGGAATAGAAACTGGAAATAAAATTATAAGGTGGAAGCGAAAATTTCAATTGCGAGTATAGTTTATTTTGCGATTTTATATTTAACTTTTATAGTGATTTTTATAGCTTACACGTAGACTGCGGATTGTTGCGCATTTATAAGAAATTTGATGGCGCAGAAATGAACACAATGCACGTAACATGAAAAAATATATAATAAAGTGCAATATTCTGCATAATAATTAGCAAGGAAATCAATTTTCCATCTAGATTCCTTTGTTTGAATTTTCTTATTTATAAAAATATTTACAAAAACGGATTATGTGTGTAACAAACAGTGAAAATAAAACTGGCGCGAAAATTTTAATATGTATATTACGCTTTTATGTTTGATCTTTTATGGGAGATGAAAGATTTTACTTGTTTCTGATCGGTGATAAATCAGGCGTTAATTTTTACAACTATAAATTCTGATTCATCAATATATTTAACTTGTTAGTACATACACACTCGTGATACTTGAATAATATTACACTAAATATATACTTAAATATATCGATTTCGAATACATGAATTTTACACGTCATCTCAGGATGAGTTACGAGCCCTATAATTCACATGTTGACTCGTGCTAAATTAAAAGTCGTAAAATTCACACATTGACTCTCGACGGATTACAAGTTGTGCAATTATCACATTTGCCTCGAACCCGTTGTAAGATTTCCATCAAGGAACAGCTGGATCCTTTCTAACCAATACCACAACTTTTATTTAATATACTTTTTGAGAGACCTAATGGAGTTTTTAATTTGAAAATTAAACGTATAACAAGGTTTTGAAAGTAATTATTAAAATATTTTGTTTTCTTCCTTTTAATATTAATTAATAAATATAAAATAAATTTGTTATATTACTTAATACACAATCACAGAAGTCTTATTTTCTATTTATCTAATTTTAAATATTTCAGATAGGAAAAACATAGAATCCACACTATGGATTTTAATTTTTATTTAATAATTTTCTAATGTTTCTTACATTTAAAAGTTTAGAAGAATGTATAAATAAATCGAAGACACAACCTATGAAAATCCAATTATCATATGTATAATAAAATGAATATTTATTTTAATCATAATTATAATAATGACCGTTTTAACGCAGCTATAATTATATAACAGATTTCATGACTTTTTCTTTCTGATAAATGATAATGAGAAACACTCTTTTTTTTTTTTTTTGAATCTATATAATATTAAATAATAAATTAATTAGTACCTATAACTTCTTTCAAATAATTGTTTTTTTTAAATATTTGAAATTTTCAGATGATAATTATATTTAGGCTTTTCTGATTTACTGTAATATTTATATGTATTTGATTTTTATACAGTTAAATATTGAATACCTACCTGTGATAGTCTTTATATAGAGTCGAATAGAATTATTTAATATGGAAATATTCAACGTTTATCTAATTATTTTGACTAATTCAGTGTATCATTAAAATATAATAAGTAATATATCGAAATATATAATATAATATATTATTATATTATTATATATTATATATTATATTATTATATTATTATATATTATATTATTATATTATTATATATTATATATTATATTATTATATTATTATATATTATATATTATATTATTATATAATGTGATATATAATATATATATATTTGACATATTCTGTTAGAAAAAGCTAAATTTTGTCTAGATTTTCTTAAATAAGTTTTTTTAATAAATTCATTTAATGTGATTTATACAATTTTTTTCTGATATTTTTCTAAATTTTTGTCAATATGTAAACAATGTATAAATGAAAAAAAAATCAATTTCATCGATATACAGACAATTAAAAACCAAAAGAATGAGAAAAGAAAGACAATTTCTTTTTAAATATTACGATTATACTTGTATCATATAGTATGATCATTAAAAAAGTAACAAATAATCATTTTCAATTATAAGTAGATTCTGGATATTCATGCGTTTTGATATTTTCATAGACGTGGCTACAAAAAAATGAAGCTGAATAGAAATTTATATCTTTTTACTAAATATCACCAGAAATATGAATTATTCTCTTTTGCACGTTTCATTTATTTCGGTTCTTTCGATGTTCTTTAAATGTTCCAAAAATGCACAAACATCTGCGGTCTCAGCTATCGCGTCGAAGAAAGGAATATCTATTGGGAAAAAGAGAAAAAAGTTTAGAAAGCAAGTGATCATGTAGTTTCATTTTCTTTTAGACAGTCCTTTCTAAAGTTAGATTTCACGAGTATCTCCGATTAGAGTGCCGACTACCCGAGGTCCAGGGAATAAATCTGTCGGATATGCCATAAACTTGTCAGACCTTTGTCTACCGTCGTTGCTAATGGCAGGATCGCTCTTCGTTTGGAGTCCATTCCCTGTTAGAAACTGCCGCCCCTCCGCAGAAACTACTGTACATTAAAGTTTCTTGTACGATCGCGCGGGAGTCGCTCCAAATTTTCGAACGTCGTTAACTTTTTTCCGCGTTCTCTCTCGCTAATGAGAGGTAGAGGTTGCAAAAGCTACCAAAGAAGGAACACAGGAGTGATTTCGGAAGGTAGACCGAGTTTTAGAGATTTACGATACTGTCGGAAAATGTCTTTGCACGCTCTCCTTTTAAAATTCTTTTCTTATTTTTTTAAACCTCTTGCGCTGGTTCGGTAAATCAGCGGCGAGACATTAACTTCTCAGAAATGTGATGAAAAAGCATAAATCAATATAAAGCTTGTCTTCTTCTCCCTTTTCGAGTATTATTAAAAACTTGTTCTTGTATTTGTAATTTTTAAATAAAATAGATATTATTTTTAATATTTTTTTTTTTTTTTAGAGAGATATCGTCAGGAGCTTTATGGCAACGTTTTAAATTTAGATTTTGTTTTTCTGTAATTTTTTTTTTATATCAAATATTGCATTTTCTTATAGTTATTTTATATTTTCTTATTTTGTTACAAGACAGATAAAGTAAAGAAGAACGTAATTATTCTCAAAGAAGATTGTTTTCGGAATGAAATGCGTAAATAATTGAAGGAATGAAATTATTCCACTAAAAGATTCTTTTTTAAATATGTTCGATATGGATGTATTTTAATTTTCTCGCAATGTCATTCGAAAAATCGCTTACACTATATTAATTTGAATTTACAAATCTTTAACTTTTCGGCTCATTATTTTTGTATTTACTTTTGTATTATAGACGTACAATTATTTTGAAGACCTTAGATGCTTATCGGCATAATTCATTTTTCATTAAAAATGTCTCGTGCTATACAAATATCCTTTTGTTGATAAAACCCTTAGTTGATAAAACAGTTTAGTCATGATCATTATAATAACATAAACTATATATTATAATGATTATTGATTAAAGATTTTGTCAACAAAAAGCTATTTTCATGACACGCAAGTCGCATTTTAATGATAGATAACTTGCAATTGCTTTTCAGCTCGAAATTAATTTTAAAATTAAAATTTATCTGTATTTGTCAATGTTTAGTCTCGAATGAATTGAAAATCAAATTATGGAAGGTAAATTGATTTCGTTGAAAGTTTATCAGAATTTTTCGAATATGACTATAAGACTAGAAAAATGATTATTTCTACATTTGAAGCAAAAAGATTATACCAATATAGCATTTTTATTTATTAAATTATATTTTATATACGGCAGATAAACTATAGAAAAAATTCATGTTATGAATTTTAATATCAAATTCATTTATTTTTCAAGTTATTTTTTGTTAAAAATCTGTTAGTATCAATAAATCAATTCATATTTCTCGTCGTTAGATCCAATCTTTTATTAGACTGTTATAATAAACGTGAGGTGAAAAGGAAAGTTTATCAACTTATTGACACTGATACATTTCTAGAATACTATCTATTATAATTTAAGAAACAAGTTTCAAGTGACAATTTTATTTATGTGTCATTTTCATTGTTTTGATCTTGGAATATAAACTTTATAAATACTCCCACATATTTTGTAACGTAATATTTAAATAGATGTATATTATCCAATTCGTATAATCTGTCTTTTAGTTTATCAGAACACTATTTGAAATTAATGCATGAAAATTATATCTGTGGATACTTATAATACTTAATATATTTGTATGTTATTAATTAATATATTAATATATTTAATATATTTTTATTAAGTATTAACCTCTTGCGCTGGAATGACGTGCCACGTACGTCGAGAATTTTTTGTCCCAAAATTGCAATACTTTCTCAGTTTTAAATATAATTAAGTATAATCCACGCAAATTTATTACTTCTCAATAATTTCTATCCAGTGATATCATACCGACAAGTTTAAAAAGAAAGCCACGAATTATTGTATACAGTTTGGTCACTCGTTATGGTTCGCAATCATTTGCCAGCGCAAGTGGTTAATATAAAATTCGATAATTCGATAATTGTCGAATAATTGATAAATATTTTGTGTATCTGTTTTCGATTCTTTCTTTATTCTGTATCAGTAATTAATTTAATCCTTACAGTGTTTACCAAGAGATTAAAAGTTTAATACTGAAGCATATAAATTAAAAATTCATTTTTAAATATTTTTGTATATATTTATTCAATATATAATATCACAGTGTATTATCTTTGAAGCTCTAACGAGTTATTTTATTATTGATTATAAAATCATCAGTACGATACTTTCGTACGAATTAAACACTCGACGGATTAAATAAAATGTTAAAAGTTTTAATTTTAAATTTAAGAAATCGAAGATGTCACAATATAACGTGAGATTGTAATCCTCACCTAATAACCTAACAAATACGAGAATCGAAGAGAAAATAAAAATCAATATTTTCCCTCCCTGTGTTTCATGATTTCTTCATAACGAGTTGCATAAGACGATAATAACTTTCCGCGTGAGATTAATTGTTCCACTTCGAAACTCCCAGTTCCCAGAACCGCA